GTTTTGTCCATACTTTATGAAGAAATAGGAAACTCCACTAAAAAACGTGAAAAAAACTTACATACTGCCTCTCCAAAGCATCAAAACAACCTTGAATCCTGCCAGGGAAAAAACATGTTAACACTAACCAGCAATATTTATCTCGTGATCTATAAACACATACTCATTAGATACAGTTTAAAGTGCATTTTTTCTGGAATGAAGACAACACAGCTAGCAACATTTTGGGCTTGCAAAGTCCTTTTCAGGTCAATCATCATAAAGGCACTGTCCTCCCTTCTGCATTTGCGCATTGTTTATATTTCTAGGGCCATATCCTGTCAGCCTGGAGCCCACTTAAACCCTGACTAACACAAGGATTCGAGGCCTAAGGCTGGCTCTGAGTGGCTCTGCTCAGTGCTCTATTCTAGCTCCCCAGCTGGATTTGCGATGGCTCTTTTCCCATCGGCCTTGTACAGAGCTTGGCTGAAACTTCAATGTGAACGTGGCCTGACATGTCTAGTCTTGTAAATGTTTGTTATCTGATGCATAGCTTATAGCTATGGGTTTTCTCAAGGGAGTAAATATTATCTGAGGTAGCAATGGTCAGATAGTTACTCTTTGAGTCAAAGGATGTGCAGCTAGGTATCTCCTTAGCACATCAAAGTCAGACTCTCTGCTTGTTGGGAATATGCCAACTCTGAAATACATCCTAAATATCACACAAGAAAGCTGTAAGGCACTTAGAGACACAATAACCAGGGAGATAAAATATTGTAGATACTAAAAAACAAGCTACAAGAATCCCTATAAAAGTGAAACTAGAAGAGACTAAACAACAACAGAATCAATCTCATTATTTTCTTTACTCTCTCTCTGTACCTACGCTGCCTGTGTGTGCTCTGGGGCCTGACCATGACCTCACTACAGTCAACACTTCAACAGACCTTGAACTCACATGATCTTGGTCAGCTAATTCTGTCTTGCTTACGCACAGGGCCAAGCACGCATGCTGCAGCAGTGGGAGTTGCACTGGCATAGTCGATAGTGCCCACTGGGCACAATATTTTCAAATTCAGGAAGAAGAAGAATGCGAGGGGTAGATGTCTTGCTATTCAGCACAATCTTGTCTTAGTTTCGCTGTTACTCACTTACCACTTGACTATCTGCAATGATCCCAGACAGCTTTTATCTTCTCGAAGAATTTTTAGACAGAGGTCTGCAAAACCAGATTTAGCACATAGTTACAATCCTTATCACAGCTGTTGGGCAAACACTGAAACTAAGCCAGTCACCCTCCCTTTTTTGGATAAAATGCATTATCTGGAGGTCCTTCCTGAGCGGAAATGTTGGTTTTCCACTGAGTCCCAGGTGGGCTGACACAAGCTTATTGCTGCATTTTCAAATGCTAAGACTTTCCTCGGATCCTCTGGGTTCTCCCAGAAAAAGTGATGGAGTTACCACTTAATTTCGAAACACCAGTAGCTTCCGTCCTCTCCTCCCTCCTCTTCTCCACTCCCATCTATTCCACCATTGCCTAACACCTTCCCTTCTGCATTCAAACTTCACCAACATCCAAATGAGGTGAATGACTGTGCTCAGAATAAACTATTTCTGTTAAGCTTTTCCACACAGTTCCTTCTACCTCTGTTTTCAGGCATTCAGAATGGCAAGAGGAAACCCATCCTGCAAACGAAGAGGTGAATTAATAACACCTTAGGATTGAACCATGGCGTCCTCAAAGGCATGAGCAGGCCAGATGTTAACATTCTTGACCAAAAAGGCACTTGAAAGACCTGATGTTTCATTAGATAGACTAGTGGCTTTTCAGGGTTAGGCGATCAAGAGCCAGTGTGGGATTTCCTGTGCCCTCAACCAAGCCCACAACGTGCATGAGACCATGCTTCAGGCCAACTAACTGCATAAGCAAAAACATGGAAACAGATTGGAACACGTGGAGATGTTTCACACACTACTAACACATCTCAAATGAATGTAAAGATGTTGATGAATCAAAGCATCACTAATTCTTGTGATCCTATGACAAGACATTAATGGTTCTTAAAGGTCTTTTTCTTAAAGATCTGATTCCCAAGTGCATATGGTTATGTGTGATAGTTTTCACAGAACAAAACACAAACAAAATAAAACAAACAAACAAATCTACTTTCAGTCTCGCAAGGAAAGCTGAAAACGTCAAGGGCTCAAAAATCCAAAGGAAAATAAAACACACCAATCAGAGTTAATTTTTTAAAACTTACTGATTTTTAAGTCAATTTCCCGACTCTGAGACCCGATTCACGGGGCTAGCAATGCCAAGAAATGATTTTAAACCAAAAGAAGCACTAAGAGAAAAGCACTGAGTTGCCAACAGCTCAAGGCTGTCTTCTATGCTCTCTATCTACCGGATGCAGCAGCACTGTCTGCATCCAGACTTGAGAAGGCCTGTTAGCTACCTACCTAATAAACTGATCTCATACATACATAAGCAGCTGGAAGCTACCATGTAAAGCAGATTATAGCTAAAACATAGCAAGCAGAAATAAGAATTCAGCACAAATGGAAAGTGTTACCATCTAAATAGCGAGTTCCGTAAGAGCTCTCCGGGAACAGCCCTCTCAGGTATGTTATACATGACACAGAGATGGCCAAAAGTCTTTTCACCAGCACCACAGACTGCTGCTCAGTGGCAATTTTGCTGGGGAACACCATCGATTCCTGAAAAAGAAGGGGAAAGCCAAAAATAACGCCATTTTAGTGTGACACACGGATTACATTTAGGAACAACTCTCAGCAGGTGGAAAAAGAAGGTAACTTAGAAACATAATTTTAACATTTCTCTGGTATTCATACTACACAGAGAAGACTAATGTCTAACATGGGTGGGATTAAGTGTTGTAAGGATACTTATCATTAGATCTGGCATGATTTACTCAGAAGAGGACTGCGTTGGTCATTCCCTCCCTTTTATCACAGCTGAACGCTCCCACCCCCTCCACTGCATCAATGTTGGCACTTAACAGGCAGTCACCCCTACCAAAAAAAAAAACAGTTGTACCGTTTTCTGCCACCTTAGCTCTGCTAAGTGGAGTTAATTGTGGAGTCAAACAAGTGCCAGAGCTGGTGTGGCGTTCACTGCTGTACCAAAGTTTACTGCCTGCAACAGGTTTTTTTGCAGCCTGAACCTGTCAACACTGTACACAAGACCTAGTTTTCAAAGCGATTTTAAAAAAGAGTTGTAAACAGTACATGTCTACCATTGGAGCGAATGTAAATACTAAACACTGTGTGAGTTTAACATGAACAATCTCTGCAGAAAGTATATTAAATTTAGTTCCTCTATTAGTTTGTTGCTTTTCTTCCTGCTAATAAAGCTCTATGCACACATAATAAGTCTGTATTTATTGAGTCAAACACATGTCAAAGCCCCATGCTGTATCTTCCCGGACTCACTAAATTGGAAATAATCCAACCAAGAACAGTGCAGACAATAGAAACTGTTCCCACCTCACCAGGCACAGACATGCCAGGTTCAAAACTGAGAGCTAATATTGTCAGTACGATCACATTTCAAGGTTTTTACCTTAGAGGACTTTTTCTTTTGCCTGGTCTGTAAAAGCTGCTGAGTAGCCATCCTGTATTTCAAAGACGTGCACTTAATTAAAAACTGGGGGGGTAAAAAAAAAAAAAAAAAGACATGAGACACCTGGAAAATACAGAGTCATTGCTATTTCTCATCTTCCTTAAGCTAACAGTGAGATTCTTCAGCCTTATTCAGGTCTAAAAGCTAACTGGCAGTTAGGACAGCTAAAGCAAAGCAAAGCAAGGATACTCTATGGCATTGCCTGAGAGTCTGCAGAGCGAGAAAACTCGTTATTCACTGGTAAACGATCAATAGTATTCGAAATTCAGGGCCACAGCTGTACCTGGTGTCAGCTGGTGCCGCTTCAAAATGCATTTCTCATATTCCAAACCACAAATGTTAATTCCTACAACCATTAAAAAGTGTGAAGGCGAAATGCGAAAGAACTGGAAGCCTGCCAATAGCAGCCAATATTTTAGCAAAGGTAAGCAGAAAATGTACTAACATCAATCTTGGCCAGAATAAAGGAATGATTCTTCTGGGACACCTTGGGGGAAAAAAAAAGGAAAAAAAAAAAAAAAGAGAGAAGTCCACATCGTTTCAATGAAAGCAGGCTCCGTTATACAAGCCTGGGTTAAAGAAAATCTTCTTTTTACAAGAACGGAAAGATGATAAAGGCAATAACATGGACATCACATGTCTTTGCACTTTGGTGTGGTGCTTGATTTAGCATCGTCGGACATCTTGATTAAAACCTTCCATTAGATGCAATTAACAAGGCACTGGTTTGAAAAACGCCTCAGTGGGAGATCTTAACTTGTCGCTGCTGACGGGGAGACGCTCACGAAAGGGAACACCACAAACAGGTCCCCAGAGGAGCGTTGCCTTGGCCGCAGCTAGTCAGTATTTCTACTAACAATTAAAATAATAGCATAAACATGGTAGGTTGATTTAAATCGTGACCTAATGCAGTGAGCAGTAGACTTTCATCAACACAGTTGATCTAATCTTGTTCTGCATTTGTACCTTTTCAGCTTTTTTCCATGAAAGCCACGTTACCATTTGTTGGCAGCCATTGAGACATGGTGATATACGAACATCTTGACAGCTTTTATGCTAAATTTAGCAGTTCATTTAGTAATGAGGATGGATTACAGCTATAAAAGTATATTTAAACAAATGTACACCTGCAAAATAGTTAATGTGCTAAATATTTTAGGAAACTTGGTGGGTTTTTTTACTCATGATTGGCAAAGCACTGTGAACAGGACTGGAATGCAATTAAGGGAGACGCAGGCATTATTCCAACATGAGGTTATTAGCTAAATAAAGCCGATTTAAGCGAGCCAGGGAGATAAGAAAACACGTTTTCTACAACATGCTGCATCCATAATTGGTTTAGCGTGCAAAGGAAACATCACTTAGACTGAGCTTATCTACTCCGACCTGGTTGCTTCGGTACGGGGTATCCTCCGAGGCTTCAGCGTCTCACCTTGGCCAAGCCTGCGCCTGCTGCTGGACCGCGAGCGAGGGAAGACGGTGCCCTGGCTTTCCACCTCCCCGCTGCTCTCCTGCTCTGAAGCCACTTTGTCGCCGGCTATCAGGAAATCGGGATTAAATGGGAGACTCCAAAGCTCTCGCAGGCCCAGCAACCCACCACCCCCCGGGGACTTCGCCCCCTCAGCCCCACGCCCGTCAAGGCTACAGCGGGCCCTCAAAAAAGCAGCTGCGGCTCCAAATGTCGTTTTAAAAGTGTGGGGGTTGTTTTTTTTTTTTTTGCTTTTGGCGTTTTTCGGGGGTTTTTTGTTTGGTTGTTTTTTTGAGTAGAAGCTCGGGCCCAGCCGGGTCC